AAAAAAAAAAAAGAAATGGAAACTATGTTTGGCTTTTAAGTGTTTTTGGATGGATGTCTGTGCATGCTTGTCATTGTTCCTTGGATGAGAGGAGAGCTCTTGGGCTGTTAATCCAGTCCATCCAATGTATTTTACACTCCATGAGCCTGACTCTCCTCTGCCTGGAAGGGCTGTGCACTCATTTCTGCTCAGGCAAAGGCAGTGAAGACCTGAGGGGAAAAAAATCCACAAGGAAAGTTGTTTTTTTTCCTGAAATTTGTTTTTGTTTAATTCGTTTTCCATGGATTTGTTGGCTCGGTTGAAAACCTACATCCGAACTCAGAAACCAGCTTAAAAATGGGGAAAGGACTTGTCATTTTTCCATCAAAAACTTGCAATTTCTGGAAGAAAAATAACTGGTTTCCCACAAAAATATTAAGGGTTTTTCTTTTCCTTTAGGAGTTTAAGTTAGAAGCATGAAATTGGCAAAAAATTGGAAATGTTCTGCTGTGTCCCCATCACTTCTGACTGGTTTGGGATGTCATGGAATGAGCTGGAGAAGGAAAAGGATTTGCCTTTTTAAATGCTGCATCCTACAAATTATCTTCCCTTTTTTATTGGATTCCAGGTGATGAGGCCTCAGTTTCTCACACAAATTTTGCACTTGCACTTCTCAGTTCTTCCCTTCTCTGACAGAGGAATCCCCTAACCCACATCACTCCCTAAATTTGTGCCACCCACAACTCCCATCAACACCCTCCGTGTTGGTTTCAAACTCATTAATCAAAATTTAAATATTTTTGGCAGCCGGATATTTTTTTGTTTGCTTTAAGGAAGGATTTCAGAGGCTTTCCAGGAGCTCAGAGAGTTTTATTTTTTTTTTTTAAATTTGAAATGTAAATAATTTTCTCCAAAWTGAACAAATGTGTCTCTGTAGCACCAGCCCAGTCAAGTTCACATCCATGACCAGGTTTTTCTGGGCAATTCTTAAACTAAAATAATGATGAATTATGGTGTGTTTGATACATTTTTTGGTTTAAACACATCAACACTGAGCTGGCCTGACCACATGAGTGAAGTTTTACCTCTGAACAAGGGGGTTTTCCAAGTTTTTCTTTTTCTAATGGAGGAAAACAAGCAAAATGGAAAAAAACCCAATTAATTACCTCCAATATTTGGCCAAATTTAAGTAGTTTGTGCCATTTGTGACTGCTCAGGGAAGCTCATCCTGATTTTAATGTTACTTCATGGGATCTAGGATATCCACAGTGGGGTCACCAGAAAAGTTTTGATTTCTCTTTTCATGTACTGACAAAATTTTAGGGTTGATAAGGGAATTTCTAACTGGTTGAATTTTTAGCTGCCTCACATTTCCAGGTTTTGAGTGAAGYCATGTGAGGGATGTCACAGCCTGTACGCATCCCAAAATCACCCGTGGTGGCCACAGATAGAACGTGCTTTGGGAAATTAAAATAAAAACAGACCCTCTCTCTTTTATTTCACAGATTTCCAATGAGCAAAGGAAAACAAACCTGGGGCTTTCTGTAAGTGCAGAGATGAGGAAGGTGAATGACCAGAGCTGCGCCTACAGGCCCGTAAATATCCAGGGAAACAAAGTCAGCTACCGCGGCTCTTACGGGGARAGCCCGGAAAAGGAGGTGAAACGGCAGCAGAAAAGGTTCCTGCACAAGGATGGCAGCTGCAACGTCTACTTCAAGCACATCTTCGGCGAGTGGGAGAGCTACGTGGTGGACATTTTCACCACGCTGGTGGACATCAAGTGGCGCCACATGTTTGTGATTTTCTCGCTGTCCTACGTGCTGTCGTGGCTGCTCTTCGGGCTGGTGTTCTGGCTGATTGCCGTGCAGCATGGGGATGTTTTTGGTGATGAGGAGCTGACRCCGTGCGTGGCCAACGTTCACAGCTTCACGGGAGCCTTCCTGTTCTCCCTGGAGACCCARACCACCATCGGCTAYGGCTACCGCTGCGTGACCGAGGAGTGCTCGCTCGCCATCCTCATGGTGATCCTGCAATCGGTGCTCAGCTGCATCATCGACACCTTCATCATCGGAGCCGCCCTGGCCAAGATGGCCACGGCCAGGAAAAGGGCCCAGACCATCCGTTTCAGCTACTACGCCGTGGTGGGGCTGAGGGACGGCAAGTTCTGCCTGATGTGGCGCATCGGCGACTTCCGTCCCAACCACATGGTGGAGGGCTCCGTGCGGGCGCAGCTGCTGCGCTACCGGGAGGACAAGGAGGGCAGGATGACCATGGAGTACAGGGACCTCAAGCTGCTCAACGACCAGATCATCCTGGTCACCCCCGTCACCGTGGTCCACGAGATCGACGCCGACAGCCCCTTGTACGGGCTGGACCGCAAAGCTTTGGCCAAAGACAATTTTGAGATCTTGGTGACTTTTGTCTACACCGGCGACTCCACCGGGACMTCCCACCAATCGCGCAGCTCCTACGTGCCCAGGGAGATCCTGTGGGGCCACAGGTTCAACGACGTCCTGCACGTCAAGAAGAAGTACTACAAGGTGGACTGCCTGCAGTTCGAGGAGACCACGGAGGTGTACGCGCCGCACTGCAGCGCCATGCAGCTGGAGCGCAAGGAGCGCGAGTGGAGCCGCGCCGACAAGAGGTGCCACAAGGAGACGGAGAAATCRGCGYTGGAAAGCAAACCWGAGCAGCARTSCTTCAGCGCTGTGGCCCTCATCACCAGCTGCAAGGATGCTGAAGGCCAGGAGGCAGCTCCCAGCCAGGCTCCCGGAGAGGATTCCTACAGGAAAGCGGCCGTGACCTTGAGCAGGCTCTCCATAGAGTCCCAAATCTAACTCTTCCTGCCCTTAAATCCTTTCCCAACAAATTCTCCCCTTGTAGCTCCTCGAATGCAAACCCCGAACCTGTGTGCAGCAGGATTTACACCCCAGACCTCACCAACTCACTCACACCCTGCTGGGCTGCCCGGAGCAGCTCTGAACTGGTTTGTACTGGTGGCTGTGGGCACCAGTGTGGGATCAGCACCGGCACAGAGGGAGCAGCTTCCACCTGGGATGAGCAGAGAGCTCCTGTACCCAAGCAAACCCCACGGGAACCTTCTCACCCTGCAAGGAACAGGGCTGGCTGTGCCCAGAGACCGAGAATTAACCTGGCAGSGCACACAATCCTGAGTTTGGCTCAGGCGGTTCCAAAACTGGTTTGGAAAGCCCATTTCCAGTCCTTCCAGGAGGCTCTGAAGCTCTGTTATCCCAACAAATGATTCCTCTGAGGGATCCTCTGGGGAATCTATGGGGTTGTTCTTTGTAGGACGGGGGAATAACTGACCCCAGTGTTCCTGGGTGGCTTTGGACCTATTTACACCCTCCCAGTTCTGTGGGACCTGGAGAAATTTAATTGTCTAGCCATGAGATTTTCCCCAAAGCGCCACTCCCTCAGCAGCTGGAGGGATGCAGGAGGTAAAAAAAAAAAAAAAATCAAAACAAGACCTCCAGTTTTAAACCAGCAAAATCCGGTTGAGCCTCAAGGAGAAGATCCTGTTCCGAGTGAGCTGTGCAATATTTTATATCAAATCCTCTTTCATTTCATTGGATTTCATTTCATTTCACTTTTTAGTGCGTTGTGCTTCTTTGCAGAGATGAAGATCAATCTGGAGAGCAAACAGGGTGATTTTATCAAAATGAAAAACGTTTGTCTCAGGCGGCTGTGTAAAAATGATCCTTCACAGAGAGATCCAGCAACTGCTCTGTCTSAAACGGGGTAAAAAAAGGGAAAATGTGGATGCTCTGGAGGTGTCTGTGACGTGCAARCTCCGTGCTCTGCACATCTCTGTGATTATTTAGTGAGCAATGCCTCATCACGCTTTTGCCCCCGGTGATTGCAGTTAATTTGCGTTGGGTTTAATTATCCTKCGAACGTCAAATAATTACATGTGAGTTTGTGGCGCCCATCTCACCTGGCCTTAGCAGCCAAGAAATCCAGGGTTTGCCTGCTCTCTGTGGCCACTGGAGCTCTCCTGTCTCCCCAAGGGAGCTCATCCCACCTTCCTCATTGTTTTTTTTTTTAGCAGGATAATTTCCATTCATCCTGCAAATGCTCATCTCTCTCCATTTGCTGCTGAAGGAGATGAAACGACTGCTGTGGAAATGCTGGCTAACTCCAGGCTGCTAAAATTAGCTCTGACGAGTCATTCGCATCATTCTGACTAATTAATTGGGCTTTTATGAGCTCATCACGTTTAATGAAGAAAAAATAGCCTGCTAAGTGTTTTTTTCCCCTGCAATTTACTCCATGTAGTAGCAGCATTGCTGGATTATTTTAATACATTTCTCTTTTGCTCACACTTGTCTTTGGAGAACCACGATCCCTTTAGGTAAAACCAAAGCCTGGGGAGTGTTAGTTATTCCAAAACTCATTAATTAACTTATTTTATGTGCTGATTCATCAGCAGCAACCACTTATAAGTGTGGTAAAAGCTGCCTTGTATCCTGGATTTAAATACTGGCAGACACGGGGGGAAACAGTCTAGGAAAAAATGGAAAGGAATGTAGGAAAATGTAGGAAAAAGTAGCAGGGTCTCAGTGCTTCTGTGGTGTTGGAAAAAAAGCATTGAATGAATGGGAATATCACCTTCCAGACATGGGAATTAACCCTTCCACACCCCCAGATCCTGACTGGGATATTTTCATTCAATGCTGGGCACCCCTTTTTGGGAAAGATATGGAGAGATTGGAATGGAATCAGGTTTTTTGTCTGTCTGCTATTTTAATTTCATTTATCCCAGTACAAACACTACATATAATAATGTATATTAAAGCAAGCATTTCTTTTATTTTTAAATGAATAAAGACATCAAAATAAAGAACATTCCTCTGCCACACACTTTKTGAGAGCACTTTGGGCTTTTCCTCCCTTCAGCTACAAGTTTTGAGCTTCCATGTCCAGTTTCTCTGAGCACCCTGTGCTGGGGCCTCACCACTCTGACAGGAAATAATTTCTTCCTAATTTCTCATCTAAACCCATCCTCTGTCAGTTTGAAGCCATTCCCTGTGTCCTGTCCCTCCATCCCTTGTGTCCAGTCCCTCTCCAGCTCCCCTGGAGCCCCTTTAGGCCCTGGAAAGAGCTCTGAGCTCTCCCTGGAGAGGTTTTTATTTAGGGGGGCCTGGTTGAGCTCTGGGTAGAGCCAGTTCTGACATCCTTCCTGCCTAGGGAAGGTTCCTACAGGACACTGGAAATGGGATAAATAGAATAAATGGATTAAAAAAGAGGGAAACTCTTCCTCACCCATCTGCTCTTTCTCAGTGAGGATTTCCCAGGATTTTTTTCCCCTCCACATTGCAGGGCTGAGCACTAAAAAGGCAGAAAATCATCCCAAAAAACCCAACCAAAGTAACAACASGAKCATCCCACAGCAGGGACACRGAGCTGAKCCTCCAGTCWTTCCCAGTGAACTGGAGGAACATTCCCAGCAGCCCAAAAGGAAGAACCTGGATGTGTTTTTGGCTGTGGTGAAACAGCAGAACCTTCCTGCTCACCCAGAGCCCAATTCCTGGGGCTGAGGCTCAGCAGCTCCTCCCCAACCACCACCACTGCAATTTCTGTGTGAAAGTTGCTCACCCCATCCCTGACTTTTCCACAAAATTTAYCGGCTGGAGCAGATCTCTAACAACAAAGGGAAAACACAAACCAGCCCGCCTTGGCCTCCTGACTCATGGTTAAAACTGCAATCCCGGTTATTTTCCCTTGGAAAGCAGCGCCGTTGTTCCGGGTCAAGATTAATTTCTGTCAAAGGGGATGTAAGAAGAGGTTATTATATCATTTATTTTTCCAGCCTCGCTCACCACCATTCATTAGGGCAGCTGGCATCTCCTCCCCCGTTATCATGTGTCATTTTGTGCATAGTTTTTGTGAAGTTGTGTTTCAGATGTGGGACAGGGGATTGTCCCCTTGTTTGTGCCTTGTTTGGTGCACTCCTTCAGGAAATGACAGGTACCTTTCAGGCCATCAGAAGTGTTGTGTAGGAGAAAAAAAAAATGGTTGGAAGGTTTTTTTGTCTCTTAAATCCTTGCTGGTTGGAGCTGGGAAGGGTTGGTGTCTGTGGTGGGCAGGAGAGGCCCAAAGAAGGGAAAGGGAAGAAGGGTCTGACAACAGAGTCACTTCCAGGCAGGCAAGGGGAAGTGACAGAAACAGATTCAGGCTGAAAAAACAGAAGTTGCAGGTTTCATCTGGGCTGAGAAATGTGGTTTGATGTTCTTATGGGGTTTAAGAATCTCAGCACAGGAGCTGCTTCCAGAATTTAAGGGTTTTTGTGGGGTCAGTGGTGGTGGTCGAGGAGGATGAACGTGGAGCAAAGGCTGTGGGAACATGGTCAGTTCTGTTCTGGGCTCGTGCTGCTCCTGGGAAAGCCAGGAGGGTTTGGAGCTGTGAGATTGGAACCCCTCAGTTGATGTTTTCTTCAGGCCAAAATACACAAAGGCACCTGGGATTGTCACAATGCACAGGAATTTCACAGCCAGGTGTGTCAAAATCGTGGAATGGTTTGGGATGGAAGGGAGCTCAAAGCTGGTCCAGTTCCACCAGGAGGGTGCCAAGGGCAAGGACACCTTCCACAGACCAGGCTGGTCTTGGACACTTTCAGGGATGGTGCAGCTGCAGTTTGTGGGGAGAATTTCTCCCAAATATCTGATTTAAACCTCCTCTCTTCCAATTTAAAATCATTCCCACTTTTCCTATCACTGTCTTCCCACATAACAAGCCACTCTCTTTCTTTCTTGGTCATCCCCTTTTTGGGTCTGGACTGATCCCTACCCCCTTCCTGATCCCTCTCCTGATACATTCCTGATCCCATTCTCAATCCCGTTGCCATTTCTGATCCCGAACCCATTCCCAACCTTGATCTCATTCCCGGTCCCAATCCCCATCCCCATCCCAATCCCATTCCCATTCCCAATCCCAATCCTGATCCCAATCCCATTCTTGATCCCATTCCTGATCCCATTCCAATTCCCGATCCCGGTCCCGATCCCCATCCCCATCCCAATCCCGGTCCCAATCCCATTCCCATTCCTGATCCCATTCCAATTCCCGATCCCATTCCCATTCCCGATCCCATTCCCAATCCCGATCCCATTCCCATTCCCATTCCCGATCCCATTCCCATTCCCGATCCCATTCCCGATCCCGATCCCATTCCCATTCCCAATCCCGATCCCATTCCCGATCCCA